GTAAAGTACAGATACCCAAAAATTCTTCTTAAGTACAGTAAAGAAGTATTTGTACTTAGTTACTTTACAACTCTGACTATACGTGCCTGGAAAATACATAGTACTGCCACAAAAATGGATATTTTGCTAACAGTTAAAAACATTACTGCCTCTACACCAGTGATTCCCAGCCAGGGGTACGTGTACCCATTGGGGTACGCGAGCATGTTACAGGGGGTACGTGGAAAAATTTACCAGGTGTGTAAAAAATGAATAAAAACAGGACAGAAATGTAGGGCCTTATGATTTCTGCAATGTGCAAATTGCAGTTGGAATCATGGACTTAACACAAATCTGAATCCAGTATAAAATGTGAAATCTCACAGAATTTGCTCATTTAGGTGAGTTTCTGACGTATTTTGGACGCTGCTGTTTTCTGCACCTGCCGTTACCTGTTTTATTTGTTTAATTACTTATTCACTTTCAAGGCAACCATCTCTGTTTAATTTGAGTTGAAAAAATTTAAATGCCTGAGAATTCAACATTCAAGGAGGTTAAATAAATAATTTTATTTAATAATCAGTTGTAGTACATTATAGTTTTGGATAGGGATGCACGATATATCTGCATTAATATTGGTATCGGTCTGATATGTAAAACTGGGTTGACATTAACATCCGATATTGATTTCCCACTTTTTAGCTTTGTGTTTTGGGAGGTGAGATGGTTGGTTGAGTGGTATCTGTTTGATCATGATAGTGATATTGAYGCTGCGCAGCCAGGAATAACTGAAATAGGGAGCCATGTCAGAGGTCTGGTCTTTTATTTACTGTATCAATAAAATACCTGTGTGTTTGTGCATATATGTATAATATAATTTGTGTGTTTGTGTAATATCAGTTATCGGCCAYAACAGAAATAATTATATCAGTTATCGATATCGGCTGAAATTTTCATATCGGTGCCTCCCTAGTTTTGGAAAATCATCATTATGTTTGACTGAAGGGGTACTAGTGGTATGACAAAATGGCTCTGGGGGTACACAAGTCTACAAATGTTGGGAACCACTGCTCTACACCATAGGCAGTAGGTAATTATGAGAACAGATTTGCAGTGATATATTTATATGTATTCCTTCTCCTTTCCATAACATTGAGTCTGTGTGTTGCAGATATTGCAGCAGGCCAAGAATCTGATCTCCAACATCAGGACCCCAACAGTGAGCGGTCACGAGCGGCGGGTCAGAGACTTCAGCAGRTATATAGAGTCTGAGATGCTTCGAATCCCAGAGTCTTTGTGGGATGAGTGTAGTTTCACAATAATGGACGTGATCAGAGGGTTCAAGACTGCGCAGCACCAGGGTCACGTGGCTCTGTCCCTGTCCCAGCAGCATGCATACCAGCAGGTACAGTACAACACAGTACAGTTTCTTTACTCAACAATGGATGCATTTTATGTCGGGATAAGAACTTTGTAAACATGAATATGGTTGAATATTTGACCACTCTTCTTKKAAGAATCGGTAGAGTTGAATTAGTTGCTGTTTAGCCCAAACTCAGCAAGTTTAGGGTTTTGGGAAGGTTGTTTCATAAGCTTAATGTTAGCAACTTTATTCAACACGTTAAGGGCTCGACACACGGGGAGCGACAGACTACAGCGATTAACGGCTGTTATCGCAGCCAGGGTGAAACCCGACACACGGGACGCGATAGCGAATGCAGCGTTGCGAATCGCGCTCTCAAGTCGCTCGTCTTCACGAAATTTGATTGGTTCTTCTACTGCCTCTTGTAAAAGTTATTGGTGGTTCATAAAAAAAGGGGGTGTGCGTTACGGACGTGGCAAATCTTGCGATGCTAATGATATTGAAAAACAAACACACACCAAGATACAGTTTTATGAGGAAAACCTTACCGGATAACTTCACCCTGGTGCCAACAAATTCCCACAAAGCTGCCTTTTTTAGTAATCACTTGGTGAAAGTGTTAGCTAACTGCAGTGTGTAGCATACTCTTCTCTCATTGGTCAGTCAATGAAACCCTCGCTGATTGGTTGTACGCTAAGCGACAGCAACAAAAGTTGAACATTTTTCAACTTTCATATGTCGCGTCGAAAGCTCGCGTGTGCACGTCTGCGAGCGTGAAATTTCACATGCACTCTTTTCGCCGGACGCTTAGCTGGAGGAGGGCAAGCGATTGTCGCCTCACCGCACAGGCTCCATAGGAAATGAATGGAGAGCGAGCGACGTCGCTTCCCGTGTCGAGCCCTTTAGTGTTTGGCTTTGTCCTGTTGGACACCCAAATGCGTCTAAATTTTAACCGTATTGATTTGAAGTAAAGTTAATGAATTTGGAGGTTGTCATCCTTCTTTATTATTTTATCCACTTTGTTAAATTCAACATGATGTTACCACCACCATGCTCACCCTGACTGCTTTCAAATACTCTTCTTGTCATTGTGGCCAAACTGGTCAAAAATTGTCTTGTTCATCATTAAACTTTTCCCCAGAAGACATTTGGTTTGTCCGTGTCGACAGCTGCAGATTTCTGACAGCTTAAAGGTGTGGAGCTTCTTGTTTGTTTGCCTTAATCTCCTCTCACGCTGATGTAAAACTGGCTTCAGTGGTGATCCATCAGTTTCCAGTTCATGGTAGTCTTTAGCCTTAGTCTTTGCTGGTTGTTCCTGAACATCTCATGACTTTTTTATTTGGGGGGAACAGATGTGTCAAAATAAATCAGTTTATGTTAGAAAAGAGAAAYTACTAGCTGAAGTCCAATATGATCACTAAAAAGAAGTTAATAAATTGTCATTTCATTATAGAACCTTCAAAACCACCTGTGAAAAAATTAGGAAAGTGTATATATTTGAATCTATGTATAAAGAAAATCCTCATTAATTTCAAATGGGTATAAACATTTTTTTCTCATTTTGAAAACTAGAACAGCCATGGACACAACAATGAACATCAGTGATGGAGATTTGCAGTCAACAAACCTGAAATCCCTGGTGTCTGAAAACACCAAGAAGACGGCTTCTGGAAAACTCAAAGACGGGTGTCCCTCTGGAAGACCAGACCTTCTGGAAGTCTCTTTTCAAGACTGGAAGTCTTGAAGATTTGAATCTAGACTGGTTCTTCAAGCTGAGGAAAGACCTGCTCATAAATTCTCAAAGGATCAAGAKGTTCTTTAGGAATATTTCATCACATATTGATGGACATCTGCACTGTCCAAAAACGATCTGTTCTGACTTTATTGTGCTTAGGAGAGACACCTRTTATGTAACTGTCTCATATGTGGAAAAATACTACTACTGAGATTCACTTAGAAACCTTGCAACATCTCAAGGTTCTTACAGAGAAAGCTTTTATCAGTGCCTTCAAGAACCCAACGCAGAAGAATCCACACAAGCTGGTGACCCCAATTGTCAAAGAGTTTGAGGGTGGTGGTGGGATTTCTGCAGCTAAAGATGAAGCCTCCTCAGACTGCGAGCAGGATCTCGTCTCGTCTCTGGAGGCCAACATTCAGGCCCGCACTTTACAGATGTATAGCAATGTGAGAATCCTGACAGGAAAAAAAATGTTCCTTTTACAAAGTCTCCATCAGCAGAGTGGTCACCAAACATCCCACAGACCACCACTGCTGAGAAAAAGTAAACAACCACGATGGAATACGGTTCTGTCCTCGTCAACAAAAACAGAATATTCTCTTTCACATTTGAAAACACACAGGCACTTTGGGTTGCTACTATGAGTCACAGACAGCCTTGGCTACTTATGAGTTTCTGTTCAGGATGCAGAGATGAGAATTGACTGTTGAAAGTGAAAAATAAGACATGAAGTTCTTGCAGTGTTTAAAGAAATGTTTAACCTTTTAAAATTTTTAAGTTTTAATGATTTTTCCTGATGTTATTTTGCTTTTCAGCTCTGACAATGCAATACAAAGGGTGAGAGAAACATGTACGTTTGAGATMATCATAAATTCACTTTTTACAATTTAGTTTTATGTAACTGTTACTCTGAATGTTTAAGTAAAGAAGTGTCCATTGYTGATTGGTTAGTTTCAAATCCTGCCAATGGGCTGGATGAAGACCTGAACCCTGTCCAAACTGATTTCACCATTTAGATTTGTGTCAGTTACTACAGCAGACTTTTATTTTGGTAACTTGAKTTAGAATGTTGAGAACCCAGCAGAACCAGGCTCAAGGTTGCCAGAAGAAGCAATGAAGTGCTCATCTCAGAACAGCTGCACTTGATGATCTATAAAGATCTGCTTGGACACAAAAACCTAAATCCTTTGGAACCAGGAACCGGACCAAACGTCCTGTGAGCAACAGTGACCTTCAAAGAAGCCTTTTTCTCTCATTTAACTAGTGTTGGTAAAACTACATTATCTGAAGCTGAATGTCTCAAGACTCCAGGATACTTAAAATTATTCTGGTTAAAGACGGATTCACTTTGTGGCTGTTTTTGTCTTTTTCATTTTATTTCCTTTAATTCGATTGTTAGCTCTGTTTTCTTCATTTCAACAGTTTAAATGGGGTAATAACTCAGATCTGTATCTTGGTGTTTGAACATGRCTCAGTATTCACCTTTGGCCATAAGGTTACTGAAAATATTTAATAGCCTATTTTATGATTTGTTAATATGTGAATAAAATTATTTTATACTAAAATGTCATGTGAATATCATTTTCCAACTTATAAAAGCCTTGGCTAACCTGAACCAATAGTTTACACAGATTGTGCATGTTGAGCTGTCAGTTTTCCAGTTTTGTTTTCCTGTTTTTTTGATTTTTTGCAGTTTAACTTATGGTTATATTTGGTTATATTTCAGCCATTTCCACAAAACATTCATTTAAAGTGGAATTTTTATTTATTTTTWTATTAAATTAAGTAAAAAATACATTTACGCTAATTAGAAGGCCGGACGAGGCCTGTGTGCCACCAGTTGAATAGCTCGTTTGGATGGTGACCTGTGTACCTCTCCTCATGACCCACATAAATATCATGAACCACTGGATGAATTTTAGTAAAACCTGCAGAACRTAACATTTGGAATCACTTCAAGTTATAACAGCTAAATCTAATCAGCCTTACCAAACACAAAACTGCCTAAAAGTTGATCACTAATTTTCAGAGTTTGACCGTTTTTCTTCAACAGGATTTCATTTTAAAATTACGTATGAAATACACATTCCTTCATGATCTGCTATGCTTTTTAATTGGAGCTTTTATTTTCCTAAAATAAATTGTYCTAAAACAAGTCTGACACATTCCTAGTCTTTATTCTGTTCTGACAACTTTCAGTTTTGTGAAATTTCCTCTACAAGTTGTATACAAACAAAAACAAACTCAAAAAGGAATTTCTTTAACATTTACATAATTCTCCATCCTGAGCATGAAGGCCTTTAATRTACAAGACAACGAACCATATGTGGCAACTCTTAACATTCATCAGTATCAATTAAACTGGCAGCTGGAAAAGTCCATTTCTTTTCCACAAATATTATGGATGTAATGTATCATAATCAGCCTCCATCTGCACCTTTACATATATGTCAAGTTAATATTTTAAGTAAAAAAAAAAAGCCACCTTCAACTCTTCCTTTTAGTTAACTAGTTTTTTTTAGGTACACCTGGCTACAATAAATGTAAGAATCAAGTTTATGATTATTTCAGAGCCACCTTTTCAAATGTATTTTTTTTAAACCAGTAATGGGCTCAGTAGTAGCAAAACAAAGCTGCCACAAACTGGATCCTCCAAAATGATCAATAATTTCAKGTATAATTATTGCAGGAGCCAATTAGGTGTACCTAAAAAAATTGAGTGTTTGTCCCCATCCTTAATACCAACGTTAGGCACATTCTACTGGCAAACAGGAGTTTAGGTTGAACTGGCACGTGGAGAGTCCATCACTTGTGGAATTTCTTGCTGGAATCTCCTGCATGATCCAGGAGCAGCTGGCAGGGTGTGAACTGATTCCCATAAACAGCTTCAAACTGCCTCATCTTCTCCACCAGCTTGTCTGCGCCGAAGGTGTCCACGTAGCGGAAAGGTCCTGGAAGCATTAGAAACGCTGGTTAGACGAGGTCTCAGCACAATCGTGTGTACTATTCTGTTGTCACTAATCTATGAGGAGTTCATCAGTCAGGTTTCTGAACTAAACCTGTGCCAGACAATTATGTTCCTGATTTTTTTAAATTTATTAGTTTGTTTCAAATTGAAAACAGGAAAAAAAAAATGGACTGATTAGCAAAGTTCAAGATAAATGTGTAACGCAAGGAGTCTGAAA